TATGTTAACGGAGGTTGCTGCAGATCTAGAAAAAAAGGGTCGGCCGATTCTATCACAACGTCAACAACAAATTGCGGAAATTGATAGAGAACTGGCACAGAGCTCGAGCGATGATGATGAATTCGCCCATCAAACTCTCGATTTTGACCCACTGTCTCCGCGTATGCTTTCCGACTAAGAATTTAAGCGTTTTTCTAAAACTTTATAACATTTATGTAACTTTAAATAAACATTTCATACATTCTCAAATAAAAAACAGTTTACCCTTCGTTAAATGTACCTGAATTTCCCTTTCCTACACCACACCATTCCCCTGAGTTTGGAAAACTTTCCCTATCCCTGTCTTCCTCTTTCACCTGTTTTCTACCTTGAACAGCTCTTTCCTCCTCACTGTCCAGAGGGTATTTTGCTCTTTCCTTGTTTTTCTACCATTTTCTTTCTTGAACGTCTCTTTCTTTTTTACTATCTAGAAGGGAATTTTACCCTGTTCTTGTCATTAGCCTGTTTTTCTTCTTGAGCATCCTTTTCTTTCTTGCTATCTAGGCGTGTACGAGTGGGGAAAGCTTGCGACTATATAAGCTGCGAAAATTTCCCAACAGTCATTTCCAAAGTTACCTCAGTGCTTCAGTGTCTGTGGCAGTTTTTTACGTTCAAAGAAAAAAAAAAAAAGTAAAAATGACTGTGAACGCTGTGGTTTTTATCTCGTTGGTAAGTGGATGTTTTTAGTGTTTGTTGTAGTGTTTTTTCGCGGTTTTTTTTTTAAGTGATTTTTTTTTGTTTTTTACAGTGCGTTTTTTTTTGTGTTTTTTTTTTTGTAGTCGTTGTTGTTTGTCGTGTTTTTTCGGGGTTTTTTCGTGTTTTTTTGTTTTTTATAGTGCGTTTTTTTTATCGGCGTTTTCTTTTCTCGTTGTTTTTTTGCTTTTTTTATAGTGCGTTTTTTTTGTGGTTTTTATTTTGTAGTCGTTGTTGTTTGTCGTGTTTTTCGGTGGTTTTTCGTGTTTTTTTTTGTTTTTTATAATGAGTTTTTTGTTGTGTTTCTTTTTTAGTAGTCTTTTTTTTTTCGCTGTTTTTTTTTCGTTGTTTTTTTTTTGTTTTTTATAATGCGTTCTTTTTTTGTGTTTTTTTGTAGTCCGTTTTTTTTTCGATTTTTATATTGCGTTTTTTGTTGTCGTGTTTTTTTTTGTCGTCGTTTTTCTGTATTAATTTTTTTCTTTTCTTTTCAGATGGTTGCCGTAAGGCGGGAGAGGGCCTACAGGAGGGAGGCCAATCTCTGGTTTCGATGGGAGGACCCCGAGACAGAGTCCTGGGATGCCCAGGACATTTTCGGCATCCAGGAGCTCCATGCCCTGGCGGAGGGGTGGCTGGAGCAGGAGGAGCGCCAGGCTTTCCTGGTAAGTTGTTTTTTCACCTTCTCTCTCTCTCTTTTTCTCTCTCTCTCTCTCTCTCTCTATTCTTTTTCTCTTAAACTCAATATTAATTCAATGTGTTTTTTTTTTGTTTCAGAGAGGCGCCCAGTGGGAGGGAGGAATTGGCCCCGACACCCCCAGAGCCCGCTGGATTCGCGCCCTGAGGGACCAGGCGCGGGAGTTTTCGGCCCAGGAAGAGGAGTGGGGGTCCCTCTACGACCTCGAGGATCTTTGGGACCTGAAGATCCTCTTCGGGGACGCCCCTCACCGTCTGGACGAGCCCCACAACTGGGACCTGGAGGAATGGGCCTAGGTTCTCCAAAAACATTATTATTATGAAAAATAAAATTTATTATATATAAAAAAAAAATGTATAAAAAAAAAAAATACTAGTATTAAGTTTTAAATGTATTTTAGATTTAGATTTATATTTTTAAGAATAATTTTTAATAATTTTGAGAAAAAAAAATGTATTTTAGACTTAGGTTTTTGAATAAAAAAAAAAAAAATTAAAATAAAAAAAAACACCTTTTTCGTCACCCTGCCCCTTAGTTTAAAAAAATAAAAAAAAATAATAGAAAAAAAAGAAAAAAAAATGTTTAAAAAAAAAGTTGAAAAAAAATGTTTAAAAAAAAAAGTTTACAAAAAAAAATTGAAAAAAATTATTAAAAATGGTCGTTTTTTGGGTTGGGGTTTTTCAATAAAAAAAAAATATTAAAAAAAAAAAATCTCGCTCTCTCTTTCTCTTTTTCTCTCTCTCTCTCTCACTCCCATATTTACCCAGCCCTCTAGTTTTAGAAAAATGTTTAAAAAAAAATGCGTGTATAGGTTAAGATTTCAATAAAAAAATTTATTAAAAAAATACATTCGTTGTTTTTTTTACATTAATTTTTAAATCTATTTCAGCAAAGTTTTCGCTGCTTTTTATAGCCATAGGGCAATGTTGTCGCTCCGTTGTCGTGACGTCGTTTTGGGCCTGTTGCCCGTATTATCTTACTTTCCGCTTTCGTGATGACGTCATGATACATCGTGCGCCGTATTCCTTTGTAGTTGATCTGGTAAGGCTCTGCTTTATCGACAACGAGGGCTCGAATAGAGTCATAATGTATCTGTTTACGCGTTTCATAGTTCAGACTAACCCCTTTTATCTTACTGACTTCGGCAATACTGCCATCAGGTTTTTTTACGCGATAAGTATAAAATTTAGGCCCTTCTGAGACAAAAGATGAAATGAAACTCCCTTCCCCGTAGCCCTCTACTTCATCGGTCAAATCCCCTAGAAAGTTCCCTAGCGGTAATTCATTTTTTCCATCGCTTACGTAAATTACTGAATCTGTGTCGTAATATAAGACGCGTTCCTGTTGCTTTTCCAAATAAGAATATAATTTAAGACGTGCGTGAGCTGTTGTATACGCTGCAATTACAACATTAGCCTTGGTAGACAGTTCTGCAGCTTCGTTTAAATGTTTCCACGACATGAAGAGAGTGTCGTTATCAACGGGGACAAGTCCTGTCACCTCAATTTCAGGATTGAACATTATGTGGGCAAATTCCTCATATGTTCGTATAATAGCCTTTTTGGTTAAATTTTCTCTCTCTCCAAATTTACCCCAGAGACAGTTCAGACAAAGCTTCGCCACAGCTCTCAACCCAGCATTCTTTTGAATTTTATCCTTGTCCAGCTTTATTCCTTCCCTTGCCTCATATTCGGATATGTATTTATTCTTTGATTCATCGTCTACACACTCTGCAGGCCAATCGGAAGCCTCTTGTTTGATTTTCAGGAAAGTGTTTATGTATCCCGCAAATAAACCACCTGTACGCGTATCCGGATTATAACGTGTCTTTTTTTTATACTCCCAAATTTCGCTAATTTCCAAAATTTTATAGCCCACTTCGACGGCTTTACGAAGTTCTGGTGCTGTCCATGTGCCCAAAAACTCACGGTCAATTGGATCGTCATGAGGGCAATTGTCTTGTACTAGATCTTTACAACATGACCGACAGAGAGGGAACAATAGTTTCCCGTGGGCCTTGACAGGTAATACAGGATGGAATAACCGACGAGGAGGTAAAACACGACATTTGACAAGTCCTTCAATCCGTGAAATGTCATTATTAGGACATGCGATACGACAATCATTCCCTACGTGAACAGTGGCGTGTCCAATAGGAAAAACGCCCGTCTTTAAAACATACGGATATAATGAACAAACGTCAACATATCGGATTTTTTCACCCTCTTTAACATCGTAATGTGTTACGGTATTTCCGGTTCGTCCACCGAAAAACGCATCGCGGGGATCCAAGGCGATGAATATTTG